ACTATTCCTTCTGCTTTTCAGATTGAAAAGGGTCAGATTTAATATACCGTTTTTTCTCCTCGGTCAGAACGCTTGAAGTTAGGGCATCATATCTCTCCAGCTCTCTGTCTCGTTCATCCAGGATGGCAAGGTTGAACTGGAAATCTTCCTTCAATTGCTGGTAACGTTCTCTGGTAAATGAAACATTAAAGAATATTAATCGGCTATTTTTGTGGGGGAAAAAAGACAAAAAATACCAAGTTAATGCTATTAATGTATAAGTAGAAGGTAATCAAAGGTTATCAAGTGAGAGAAAGTTGTCTAGAGTTTCTGTTCCTTTTTCAAACTGGTGTCTGTGTTGAAGTAGGGCCAGTGACCGGCAGGTCCGGTTTCTAAGTATTTAGAGCATGACATCCAGCTTTTCACAGCAAACAAGCTGGTCACCAATATATTTTGGGAATTAATATCTGCCTCAATAGGCACGTACAGCTGAGTATCAAAGACAGCATTAAACATGTGTTAAGGAAATTGTGTGATCAAATGTATTAACATTGCTAACTGTAAACTGTTTCTCTGATTAGGTCGTATCCTGGGAGTGACCTTTAAGGCCCCGTTTACTTGGATACGGTTCGGGTTGTATCTGCTACTTTTCTCTTTCGTATAGCCCGTTCGTTCACACGAGGCCGTAACGGAACAGCGGAAACGGACCCCTCAAACAATAACGGGTCCCAAGGTGGGTAGATCTGCGGACAGAACGCTCTGGGGGGGCAAACGGCTCAGTGTGTACGCCCTATACGATAATTTCCTGATAACGATGAAGCCATAGCACCGCCTCTCCCCAACTCTGCTGCTCACTGCTGTAGCATGGTCAGTAGCTACTGCTGTGGCTGAATAGATTGTATGTATGGGAATCCTGTAAATTCAGTTATCGACATCCATGTGTTTATTTGGCCTCTAAATAATATTATATGTACCTGTGCCCTTTTCAGGGGTGCTATTAATTGTTAGGCCCACCTTCACCTTGGATACCTTCATTCATTTGGTTTTGTTCTTTAAGTTTATTTACTAGTGTTTTCCTTGTTTAACATTGACCATTGCATACAGACTTTGTTTGGATAAGTTCATTCATTTGGTTTTGTTATTTAAGTTTATATACTAGTGTTTTCCTTGTTTAATATGAACCATTGTGTGCAGACTTTATTTGGATAAGTTAATTTATTTGGTTGTATTTGTTTGGTTAATTATTTAGTTGTTTATTTAAGTGTAATACTGTGTGGAGGTTTTAACCGTCTTCCTCTTGTCAGACAGGTGCTGTGGGCCTGAGGCAGCAACCCCAATCCCTGGTGGTGGTGTTCTTCACGAGTCCTGTTGTTTGGTTTGCGGTGTCACGGGTGGTTTTGAGTTGGACCCTTCCCCCTTTTTGATGTATTGCCGCCTGGTAAGCCCCAGCCCTGTCTTGTACCTCCTATGTCCCAGTATTAACTTTTAGCTGATTGTATAATGTGTATCTGGTGTTTTTAGAATAGTTAATTGATTGTTATAAAATAAAGTAATTGTGTTAACTGTAACTGAAACTGTCTCTGGCCCGTTATGTAAAACTAACCTGTGTTCCTTGTAGGGTTGCAAAATTCCGGGAATTTTCAAAGATGGAAACTTTCCACGGGAATTAACGGGAATTAACGGGAAAGTATATTTTAGCATAATCTTGACTAAAACAAACAGATGCCATTCAAGTACACTTGAATATCCATGCCATAGCACACTGCCATTGCTTACTGCATGGCTATTGAGACCACACAAAGTTTCGGAACAGGCTCACAAATGTGAGAGTGGAAAAACTGGTTTGAGCCTGACACAGAGCCATCCTCAACAAGGCTGGACAGTGACACTGAAGAGGAAGACTACACCGGCACTTTTCACTTTCTAGCTCCTCGCGAGAGCTTTTCTGGTTCAGCTCCCGTTTCCCTTTTCAGCTCCCGCTCTGTTCACACCGCTCACACCGCTCAAGAGCCGGGATGGTACTGCGTCATTGCCTCATCGTTTGCGTCATGACGTAACCGTTTACGTGCCTGCTTCCTAAAACCCAAACCGCGCGGAAATCACGACAACAATGGCCGATTGTATTGAAGCGCTGTTCGCTGTGGTTATCCTCTTACGAGACGAAATGGAAGGCATCGGACGACTTTTCAAGGGACGACTGAATATTGCCATGAAGTTGTGTACAACCAACCCCCTTTACACCCCTTTCCAGAGAACGGTAGACAAGAAGGAGCTGACGTTAGATCTGCATTGATGGAGTATTTCAACATGGGGGACCACTAATATTACTGCAGTTAAACCTGATCTATTTTGTATCATGCCTCTTACAATAAAATCACTGGATCAGACTTGAATTGTGTTTTCTTTTGTATACAAATCACAGAATGTAAACAGATAAACAGGTATGAACAATATTCTTATAAAAATAGTGCATACCCAAAAGGTTGCCCCCGCCTCCGCCTCGACGGACGTAAGAGAGACGTAAGCGACGCCGCGTCATAGCTCCAAAGCTCTTGCCTCTGCTCTGGACCGACAACTTTTTGGAGCTGGAAGTGAACCGCATTCCGGAGCTATGACGCGCCGCCGCTGCGGTGTGAACAGGAAAAACCGGCGCTTTTCAGGCTCTAGCTCCCAGCAGGAGCTGGAAAAGCGCCGGTGTGAAAGGGGCATCAGAGTTGGATGTTGATGAGGCCCAGGAAGAGCCCGTTGACTGAAAGGGTTTAGCAAAAATGCAGAGGATCGCTTGAAGGAAGATTTGCATGTTTAATGGGACTTTTTGGAGGGAGAAGGGCTCTTTTCATCTAACATTTTCATGACTTTGTGGGGATTTTTGGATGGGGGGTGCATTTTTGTTCATTTTTTAATGAGTGGGGTTGGGGGGGATGAGTAACATTTAACTCAACATTCCTGTTTTTGTTCTTCAATGAAACAAATAATTGTTCAATAAAATAATTAAAACTTGTTCTGTTCAACTTAAAAATCTGTTGAAATTTCATGTTTTTTTGTTTAATTTTGCATCGAATATTTCCAAAATTCCCCAGCTTAACTTTCCATGGAAACTTTCCGGAAATTTACCGGAAACTTTCCGCCCCTTTGCAACCCTAGGTTGCGGTCGAATAGTCCAAAAATCAGCTCCTAAGTTCTAACCCTATCGTCTATTCCTTGACCTCTGAGTGAAACGTCATGGGGTTAAGGGATAGTGGATAGGAGAATTCAAAAGGATTTAGGAGAAGAGACTGCGGTACTTTAGAGAATCCGACTGCACTTTCACTATCCGACGTGTTTATGATGCGCCAGCGGAGGTCATAAATGTGCGCCTGCTGCTGTGGGGAAACTATGGAAACTACAGTTTTCTATACAGCGGACTACAACATGGATGTTTAATAAGAACCAGGGACTACTGTAAACTCATCTAGAGACTCTGCACCGTGCTCTGATGCTGTTGTTTTATGCTTTATGAACGGGGACAACAGAGAAACATATTCTTCATGACCAAAGTTGGAATTGAAATAAAAAAGGAAAGTGAAACTTATGCTCGTCACCCTCTCCCTCCGGTCCACATTAATACAAATGATCCCAATACGTATGATTGTATGAAAAGATCTTAAAATCAATACAAATGTATTTATTATAAACGTTAGTCCTTAACATCTATCACTGTGTATATCACCATTCAAACATCTTTTAAAAGTTGAACAAACCCCACACAGCTCAGTAAACACTGTGAAATGTTGACTTTATTTGATCATTTCAGTAAAAACTAACGTTCATATTTCTCTTTTTGATTATAATACTGATGAACGTTCAAAACAAAGCACTTTGGCAAGTTACCACATACGTTTTAAAATGCTTAATAAGCACCGTAACTTTCATGATATCATTTATCGGTCATAATCGGTTGTTTCCGTGAACGGCCGACTGTTGTGTGACGGCAAATGCCACGGCCGCAAGGCATTGTGGGGCAGCATTTTCTCCTCTCCTTTCGGTTAGGGAGGTCCAGTGGTTCCTAAGCTAAAGGAGGTTATAAAGGAAGTTTGAAACCTCCTTTCCTTTCATTTAGAGAATTCGAACGGCACTTATCATGGCTGCCACTGAGGGACTTCCGGGTCATTTCACTCCGTTAGGAAGGTTCCTAAGCTAAATGGACTATTCGACCGCAACCCTAGTTCCTTGTGGGTTAAATCTTTTATTATCAATAGTTAGTTCCTAGGGGTGAAACTCCCTTAGGTGGCGTTGTTGGCAACACAAACTCTTACCTACACCACACCGTCACATTTGTGAGTTTGTGTTGCCAACAATGCCACCTAAGGGAGTTTCACCCCTAGGAACTAACTATTGATAATAAAAGATTTAACCCACAAGGAACACAGGTTCGTTTTACATAACGGGCCAGAGACAGTTTCAGTTACAGTTAACACAATTACTTTATTTTATAACAATCCATTAACTATTCTAAAAACACCAGATACACATTATACAATCAGCTACTTGTAGCTACTGCTACTGCTACTGACCATGCTACAGATGTTAGTGCAAAATCTACAGCTCCTCTACCACAACCATCAGCAACAAGTGCACATGGAGAACTACATGAACTACATGTTGCTAAATCCACCGCGGAGCATACACAGAAGGGCAACTGGGCAACCATGCTCGGGGGGTCTTCTTCGCTGCTTTTGGTGTATTTTGTGGCGGAAGTACAGCGCCACTTACAGGCCCGGCATATGTACTACAGCGTCTCCAGCTGGTCGAGCGGTCTCGTGTGAACGGACACGTTAATTGAGCCGATTGCGTGTGAACGGAATACTTTTTTGATATCGAATTTGGTTCATTTTCGTTTGCGTTCCCGTGTAAATGGGGCCTAAATGTATGTGTGATCAACAGATGTGTTTGGACAAGGGGGTTTAATGACAACCACAGGAAGAGAGGATGAGTGAAAGGGATTTACGATAAGGGGTTATCTGCATATCCCATTGTTCTTTGTAGGGTGTGAGTTTTTGCATACAGTGCCATGGGGTTTACCAGCTGGCCTCACAACATGTTGTTTGTAATGTAAATAAGCTTTGATGTCCTCCTATAAGGAGAGCCTGTTTTTCACAGAACAGTACGCTCTCTTTGGTGGATTCTTGCAAGTATAAAAGATCTTTGATACCTTTAATACGAATATTGTGTTGCAGTACGTTTGTTACCTAACTGATCATTTTCTCTAGACCACAGCTGATTTTAAGTTGCTACGACACATGTGAGGAAATATATTCTTTAATTATTTAGCTTAAACCTCTACGTTCAAATGTTCTAACTGTTGTCATGTTATCATCCTTTCAGTTTTCTTGAGAATTCAACTTTTACACACTGACACAATTATATTGATATTGAATTGTATTACAAATAAACAGTGTGCTTAACACTAATTCAAGAAACAAAATGTATCCACCCGAGTCAGTTGAGTTAAGTCAGTAAGTCACAGCAAACCAATGACTGAAACAATGAATGTGTTGGTTGATTGATTGGCAGAAACTGTTTTGGATAATTGCTTGATCTTCTATGTATCTTATGAAACAAACATGCCTAACTTATTTTCTCCATTTTATATTATTGTAAACTGATTATATTTGGGTTTGCAATGGTGGTGAGAAATAACATCACACAATTATTGTGATGTAACCTGTCAACAAACAAAACAGCTACACAGCTACTTCGTTGTTTATTAAGAAAGTCAGAGACAGGGCAATCCTACAAATGTTTAAGAGCATATTTCCAGCTTAAAGCTTCAGTGGAAATGCACATGTACTTTGATCCTGACGGGAGGTTCATGTAGATGTGGTACCTGAGGGATAAGCACTCCTCCTGGGCCGTTTTGAGGGAAGTCTCCAGTTGATGAACCATCGCAGCCTGGAGCTCCTTCCACTCCATCTCTTTCCTGACCAGCTTGGCCTCCAGGTCTCCCAGTCCACTGTCCCCGTCCGACTGCATGGTGGAACTTGGATATACCTACAGCCACAAAGCAAGTGTTCAATTCATCAATAAAATTGTATTTATATAGCCCAATATCACAATGACACATTTGCCTCAAGAGGCTTTACAGTGTGTACCGCATACGACATCCTCTGTCCTTCCCAAAGAAACCACACAATTAACGGAGAGAGAATAGAAAACACCTTGGGGAGAGCAACCATAGACTGTATATATAAAGAGAGCAACAGATCTGTCTCTAAGGATGGACATATGTGCAATACATGTAGTGTGTTCAGATTCAAAAATCAAGATGTAAAATATGGATAGATCCAGGTTGATGTACAAAATATACTAGGTGCCACACAAACACATCAATGTGTTTATCAAGCATTGAGTATGTTATGGTTAACATGAATATTAAAATAATTTAACACACACATACACCCACCTTATAATATTTCAGTCCGTCAAATATTGATGTTGTGCTCTTTTTTCTCCATGTATTGCTTTTAATATTTCTAAGAAGTTCGAACATTGTATAGAAGACCCACTCACACAACAAACACTCACGCGCACACACACTGTATTAAATGCATACGTGAACTTACCAAAACACAGTAGCTTCAGCTTTTTAGCAATGGTTAGGTATCTGTGACATTAGTGTTTCCGTTTTTGCTCATAAGTCTTCATACTTCACGGAAAACATTACAGTTAGCGACAAATAAATAACAACTTAACACGTAACGATAGCTAAAAACATTTCACGAGCTAGATTACTAAACTAAAACTTGGCTACTTCCTCGTGTGATGTAAATTGATTCCATGGCAACCTAATACGGTACGTCTGTGAAATTGTTCCCCTGCTACAATAATAGACAATGGTTCCTGCACGCCAGCTTTAGATAAAGTCCAGCGACGGTAGCGCGCTCACACGTTTATTGTGGACGAGCTTCTGAAGGAGGCGGACAGCATCTCAGCAGGTAGGCTACCGTGTGATAAGTTATTATTTTTCCTTTTAATCAATTCTTCATTTGTATATGTGTATGTGTATGTGTTACGGCCTTCTCGGAATGTATTTCCCCTGTTATATAGAGTGCTCAGCAACAGAGTAACAGGTAGGATGAAAGTCACTCGAGTAATTTGAAGGGATCCTATGCCGTTATTATAATTGTGTTGAATGGTGGTGAATAGTCTCTGGATATTGTAAGTTGTTATAACAGGATACCGGTCAGACTGGACCCACCCCTCAGAAATGTCGTCCGCCGGGATGCACATTAGAGACATACGCCTCGGTCCTCACGTAAGCACCGAGCTTTGTCCACATCTGTCTCGGTGTCGCATTTTACTGTCTTAGGCAGACATAAAGGCGGACACACCGTATAAAATGAAGCCTAACTTTACTTCGGTTCTATTCAACTGAAGTAAATAAAAGACGGACGCGTTCATTGTCTTTTTTTAGAAAAAATACAACTTTTTGGTGTCTTGGATAATGTAAAAATATACTGAAATATTAGCCGGAAATAGTATTTTGTCATCCTACCAACCAAGAAATTAAGAGCAGAGAAACTATAGCGGAGTCGGAGTGGATGTTATTTCACAAGAAGAGATGTTAACTGAAGGTCGTTTCCTGATTCGGCGAGTGATGGAGTCACAGTGTGATGCAATGAACAGTCAACGTTAGGACTGTAATGTGGTGATGCAGAAGTAGACTAGTGCCTACGTGCTCTCAGCAGCATATCTGAGGCTGATAACCCCCGGGCTCTGAGCTTCATCATTACTCTGCTTTCATATACCTTGAGAAGTCAAGGTCACAGGATCAAATAAATACATATTTGGGTGAAGAAAATACAAAACAAATAAACATTTGTATTTGTTTCCTCAAGCATTATTTCTTTAACATAATTATTTATTTCCATATTATTTGTTTCTTTTATTTATTTCAGCCCTTATTTATTTTCTTATTTCTTATTTTTATTTATGTTATTTTCATTTATTCCTTTATTTATTTTTCTGTATCGATACATTTTTCCTTATCTCTTTATACTTATGTCATTTTCTATTCTCCATACTCATCGAGTAGCCTAAAAAGATATGCTTTACAATATATCTCAGCGTTAGCAAAAACTAGTGTGATGTGTGTGTAACACTTAAGTGCAAATTAGTTGTAGTTGTATTTTACTTGAGTATTTTCTTTTCATGACACTTAATTATTTGACTATTACAATTGAAATGGTAATATTGTAAGTTGTACTATAATACATTTAGAAATGTTTGCCTAAGAAACACAGGAGTCTATAAAATCATATGTATTTAAATGAATTAACTAGCCAACAGTTAATACAGCGCAGTCTTTTTGGCGCATTATACTGTTACATTTAATATCTTAAGTACATTTTGCTGATTATACTTACTTAAGTGACATTGCAATGCAGGACTTTTACTTGTAACAGAGTATTTTTACAGTGTTGATCCGAATACTGTAAAAAATACCCTGTGATGAGAACCTTTACAATCTGTGATGAAAGCCTTTATTAAAGATACACATTAATTAAAACTGAATGGACACCACTAACAGAAATCCCCACAGAGGTCCAACCATAATGCACTTAGCCAGTAACCATACCCTCAAGAAAACAGGCTGCACTGCAAGTGAATAAGGCCAATCTTCATCCACACCACTCCAGGGTAACTCTGCAAACCTAAAACGCCAGGCATCAATCAGTCACAGTGATTACTACTGAAACAGACCACACCAAACTGTAGATCAAAAACATTCCTACAACGGTCATTAATTTGTTAAAGCTGCTGCATTTTGTTGGGATCCAATTCTACGCCTATGACTTTGGAATACATTCAGGGAACTGCAGAAACCCTCAGACGGATTGAGATGGGGAGACCCCCCCGCCCTGAGCTTAAATGGTACAACAGCTGATGCAATGTTGCTAAGCTAACAAAGTGGAGAGCTTCGGTCAGTCTAGCCAAATAATGTATTCTGATTGAAAGTTGTTCTCACTTGGTAGAGCTGGCAGCCCATATACTGGGGCTTGGTACTTATGTGGAGGTCTGGTTTTAAAAAAAAACGCGCGCGCGTGCGTGTGTAGAATGTTTAGGGTCTTATTTTAGTCATGGTCTGGTCATGGTTTAGTCTGGTCATGGAAGGTGTGGATGATGTGGGCTGGCCTATAGAAGGAGTATTCTTGTAGGGTCATGCTAATGTCACTGTGTGTGTGTGTGTGTGTGTGTGTGTGTGTGTGTGTGTGTGTGTGTGTGTGTGTGTGTGTGTGTGTGTGTGTGTGTGTGTGTGTGTGTGTGTGTGTGTGTGTGTGTGTGTGTGTGTGTGTGTGTGTGTGTGTGTGTGTGTGTGTGTGTGTGTGTGTGTGTGTGTGTGTGTGTGTGTGTGTGTGTGTGTGTGTGTGTGTGTGTGTGTGTGTGTGTGTGTGTGTGTGTGTGTGTGTGTGTGTGTGTGTGTGTGTGTGTGTGTGTGTGTGTGTGTGTGTGTGTCCCATCATGCAGATGGACACTTGAAACAGGCATTTCTATGTGGAACAGGACATCATTTGCTTTCCGTTTCTTGTTTTTATGCAAAAATAGTGGTGTTTTCTGATGTTCCTACAGTAATTTAATAATTCAAGAAACCATTTCAGAAAGCGGGGTGATAATGACTTCTCATTTATATTATTTATAATATCTTATTGTCAACATTCTTCTTGGTTAAATCGCAAAGGGGAGTACTGGCGCTGCTTGGCTTCACCCAGTGTAATACATTGACAGAAAATAATGACAGTACATTTGGATACCACGCTGTATAATCAACAAGTCATCAATTAAATACCACAAACGCTTGTTCACTTATTAGCCATGCTAGCTCCTGCTCCTAAACAACATCTGTCAGGCTCTGACCTGTAATGTACACGGTGTGACTGAAAATACATTAAAGACAAATTAGGCCTTATTAAGCAAGAGTATTTCTAGGTATATATGTTTATACATTCAACTTAAATGCATATATACTGGATATCATATAAGATATATATGAATGGTAAACTGATCATTTGTATGGAGATTTTTGTATGCAGGATATATAATCAGATAAGGAAACCACATAAACAAATCTATTATATATGACAGACAACCCTGCTTTACATATATCATAAATATTATGTGTAACCTTTAAACCTACTAACTGTGATAAAATATTTGCATTACAGAATAAGGATACCATATAAAGTAATTACACAATGGGGCAGCTTTGCCGACTGTGCCAATAGGGAAGCAAAGGCAAGGCTGTTGCAGTTGTGGCTGACAAAAATAGAACCTGAAAGGAACACCAGCCAAAAACCGCCTCCCAGATGTCCTTCATGAAAGGTATGCCAGGCTAAACAGTAAACACTAGTTATCACTTAGGAGAAAATATTACACACATTTTATGTTAAAGGTCACGTATTACGCAAAATCCACTTTTCATGTCTTTTATACATTAATATGTGTCCCCTTTGTGTAAAGAGATACAGAACGTTTCAGGAAAAAAGATTCCCTCTCTGTTTGTCCTGATCCATCCAAAAGAAAATGTTTTTTTGGAATGTGCAACCATTAGCCAATAACTAACCAAGGTAATACCAGCCAGCCTTATCACCTGAATCTCCTCCGAGAGCACCATTAGCCGCGTTCACACCGCAGTACTTTTCCCACCGCAGTACTTTTCCCACCGCAGTACTTTTCCCACCGCAGTACTTTTCCCACTTTAGTTCCGATATAGTTCCAAAATGTCGCGTTCACACCAAAAAGAGCCAGAACTAAAATTAGTTAATGAGAACCTTTTTTACCCCCTTTTCCGTCCCTGCTAGAGAGCAGGTACTTTCGTGGGAGAAAAAGGTTCCTATGTCTGATTGGCTGGGCGGAATGCAAACCACGCCCCGTAAAACTCCAAAAAAGTTTTGTGAAGCCGCCATTTTATTATCCTCGCGTTAGCATTAGCATTAGCCCAGCGCACAAACGCAGAGAGACTAACTTATGGCAACACAAAAGAAAACATGGGAGCGGTGGAGATGAGGAGGTGTCGGCGTTCTGGCGATTTACTCGGATTTACTTGGGACTCCCAGCAGCTTCTACTGAAGCCAGTCCCCAACTCTGGGGACTTCCGGCCGGGGACTTCGGGTGGCAGTATACGCCGTGAAGTTGTTTGCGGCCTGCCAGTAAACCCAAAGCAGAAGAAGAAGAAGTGACGTCAGCGGCTTCATTTGCCTAATCCTTCCCCCCGTTCATGAGAACTAAAGAGTTCTCATGAACTAAGTTCTCATGAACCTTTGTGGGAAAAGTACTGCGGTGTGAATGCGCCTATTGTGTTCTATTAAACCGAACACTTCCACAGAGGGGCGTGGCCAGCAGCAGCTCATTAGCATTTAAAGCAGGGGTGTAGAACTCAATTTCATCGGGGGCATTAGCATTAAGGTTGCACTCAAAGGGCCGGTTGTAACTTGACAATAGCCGCTTTCACACCAAGTACTTTGCCATAGCACTTAGTGCCAGCACTTAGTACCCCCATGGAACTAAGTACAGATCGCGTTCACACCGGAATAAGTTCCCCGAGGGAAGATTACGTAAATGAAGCCGCTGACGTCACTTCTTCTTCTGCTTTGGGTTTACTGGCAGGCCGCAAACAACTTCACGGCGTACACTGCCACCCGAAGTCCCCGGCTGGAAGTCCCCGGAGTTGGGGACTGGCTTCTACTGAAGCCTTCCGAGTAAATTGCCAGAACGTCGACACCTCCTCATCACTCCACCGCTCCCATGTTTTTTTTTGTGTTGCCATAAGTTAGTCTCTCTCCGTTGGTGCGCGGGGCTAATGCTAATAATGCTAATGCCAGCAAATACAATGGCGGCTTCACAAAACTTTTCAGAGTTTTACGGGGCATGGTTTGCAATTCGCCCAGCCAATCGAAATTGGTACTTTTTTCTCCCCAGGATAGTCCCACCTCTCTAGCAGGCACTAAAAATGGGGGTAAAAGTTCTCGGAACTAAGTACTCTTTTTGGTGTGAACGCAAAATTCCAGGCACTATCGGAACTAAACGGGAAAAGTACGGGGAAAAGTACTCCGGTGTGAACGCGCCTTATATAAATATATATATACACATATATAATTATATATATATATATATACACATATATAAATATATATAAAATTATGTATTATATTACATTATTGCCTATGCATTGGGTTATTATCGGATAGGGTAATAACTTCATAATGAACTACGTCTGAGAGCAGAAGTATAGGGCAATTAAAGGTGGGGTAGGTAATTTTGGAGAAACCAGCTCGAGATCGCTAGAATTTGAAAATACACAGCCGGAAAAAATCTGCCACTTCCTTACAGAGCCCCTCCTCCAACACACACGAACGCACACATGACCAATGAGGGCACGAGATAAGTTTGTGCACAGATGGAAGGCTGACAGGCAGGTAGGCCATCCAGTTATTTTAGCCGGGCCGGCTAAAATGATTGGTCGTGCTTTTTACAGTACTACGGCTTCCACAGATTACATTTTTGTATGGATTTTTTGTCAAAGCTACAAAACTACAACAAGATGGACATATTTGACCGTGATTTAATTGTAATACACGTTTCAAAATGATGCCGAAGTAACAACATACTGATACCGGTTATTAAAAACCATGAATTAATGCTTTGACAAGTCTGCAGACAGACGGCAGGCGAAAAACCTTTTAAAATGCGTGTTTTCTAAATGGAGATTGGCTAAGCTAACGCAGTGTATGCTCCGACCGTCCACACTCACAACAACGGCCTATACAGACATAAATAAAACAGCGACTGTATTCGCCATGACACAGACAGTCTGTGGTTTGTACTTGTTTAGCTTTTGTCTAGTTTCTGAACAGATATGAGGAGCTGTGAGCTCTGAGGGCTAACAGCTAACGGCTGATGTTGGTTTTGTGTTTCGCATTGAAGATGACGTCACGGCTCCGCCTACACTGCGTTACTATAGATACTGCCCCAGTTCCTAAACTGTAATGGAAATGCGCCATAAAGTGAGCCAGTCCTAACAAGGCCTAACAAGGCCTAACAAGGCCTAACAAGGCCTAGCCATACCGAGCGAGGCCGAGCGAGGCCGTGTAGTGGAAATGCGCCATTAGAGTGGTGCAGGAATGAGTCCTGAAACCAATAAATTAGTTAGCATTTTAGCACTTTCAGTTCATTGTCTCGAAGCTATTGTTTTTTTAATTGGTAAGATGTCTGAAATAAGGTCTGTGGTTAACACAAGCTTAAGAGATTTTTATGTTCCACAACGTAAAATACATCCTGAATCCCCACTCTTGAATGTCTCAAGATTTTAAGTGTCGGCGGTTGCTAACAAGTGGCTAAATAAGACTACTAGACGTCATCACGACGAACATTAGCCGCCTTTAGCTTAGCTTAGCAGTGGTGCCGCGCAGTCATGCAACCATGATGTAGTTGTTTGTAGCCTAACGTTAGCTTTTAACTTCTGGTGATTGCATTTACATGTCTAAAATAACAAAAGTGGTGTTTATATGTGGAGATTATTCTACTGAACAAAATGTGTAAGTATTGTTCGCCACAGATCTTATTTTCTGCAATATACCAAAATCCACTAGAAAAATCCCATTGCTTTTTGTCATGGAGCCTTAATGATGCTAACTTCCGGGTATACATCATCACTCCACCACATTAGGCTCGTCTCAATTGAATATTTCACCTCCTCCTTTCCCTCACTCGCGTCCCTTGCTTGTGTCTTAGCTCCGCCTCCGTAAGATGCGAGCGAGAGACACGAGGAGGTGACGCGAGGACAGAGGAGTCCTCAGGTATTAATTGGGACGTCCTCGTTCACTCAAACGTCACTCTTAAACGACGTCTGTTAATGATGACATGTGCACAGCTGTATCCCCTCTCATCGGGCTTAACTGAATAACCCCTTAGAACCGGCCCATTTGTTTGTAAATATTTAATTAAATTAATTAATCTTTCTCTTGTTAGTCAAGGAATTCAATGTATGATGGTTGGTCCTGCTTTTGTGTTCCGTTGTGGTGTAAAATGTAGCCTACATTTAAATAAAAAATATAATTATAGTAATGTGAAATCCTTTACTCTGAAAATGTGTGTCCTGTAGATCCCCACATTTACCACAAACCCACATTCAGGACTGTACATTTTAATTTAACTACTGAATATTTTAACACAAAACTATAAAATAATTGTTATTCTAGCTATTATTGTAAGATCTAGCCATTTATGAAATACCTTTCTTAACAGCTATGTTTTAGTGACGTTCAAAATCTTTAAATATGACTTCAATTGTTAGTATAACCTTAAGAAATGAATTGCACATAATAATTCCCACGGTGCTGTGAGCACTTATACATTTATGTGATGCTTTTCCACTCATTCTTCCAGTTCTCCGTTTTCCTGTGTTGAAATCGACCAGCTGTGAAGGTGGGGGCGGGGCTTTTATACGCGCGTAGTCTGCTCTCGTGTATCCTCCCTCACCCCTCCTCCCTCACCCCTCCTCATGGTCGATTTCCGGGTCAAGTCCCGGAGGAGGGGAAGAGAGGAGTCGAGGAGGGGTATTGAGATGAACCTAAAGTCTCTCTTTCCTGCTGTCTGTCTTTATGTGTCAGCCCTGTGGTTGCTTAGCGATCAGTCCAGGGTGTGCTTCACCTCTCACCTAATGTCAGGATCAGCTGCGGCCCCCTGCTGTGCTGCAGAGGATAATTGGTTTCATATAATGGATGGATTTATGTTAACACTGATCATACTATCAAGGCTCAGTGGTGGCTTACATGTTAAAGAAGCTAGCTATAGAGAACCGCAGTGACGCGTCCTAAAACCCGGAAGTAAGCTGCGCATGGGTTTCTTCGTCAAAAATGCAATGCAATTTCTCCATAGGATTTTGGAAAATAGCTTGAAATAAGGTCTGTGGTTGACACACATTTAAGAGACGGATCACGTTTTGTTCAGCCGGATAATCTCCACATGTCTACCCTACTTTTATAATTTTCGAATCATAAATCTAATCGATAGATTTATGATCGATAGATTTATGATTTATGCATTTTTGTCGAAGGAACCAGAAGAAGTTTACTTCCGGGTTTTAGGACGTGTCACTGCGGTTCTCTATTGCAAATCTCCAGACTGGCAGGATCAATCTGGGAGGGGTCACTTGAGAAATGTCCCTGATTCCTCAACCCCAACTGATCAGTGGCCAGCAGATCAGTGTGTGTTTGTACTGGACAGCTTCCAGGTATGCATGTGCAACTGTGTGAATGTGATCAGGGGTTTCCTTTTATAATTACATTCATAAATAAACTCTACAAGAAATATTATCCATTTTACTTAGGTGGATAGTAATTAAGTACAATACATATCTACAATTGTGAGGTACTTGTACTTCCATTTTCTTTTACTCCACTACTCCAATTTCATTGAGAATTTTTGTTACATTGCATTAATGATATGAAATATAATAAATACAGGACTTATACTTGTATTTCTACGTTGTGGTATTCCTACATTTACTTAAAGTGGACCTATCATGGTATATTTAAATGATATATTGTAGGGCCATACCTATATAAGGTATATTTATACGTTTCTGTTTTCAAAATACCAAACAGATCATGCATTTTAGCCATGCCTCATTTCGCTCAATTTGCACTTTTTTTTAGCTCTGCTCTGCAAGGGCAGATTCTGTGAGAACAGCACCATCTACAGGCCTGGCATATGTACTACAGCGTCTCCAGCGCTTTCGAACGGCAATGGCCGTGGCTGTCTCCTCCTGATTGGTGGAGTTGGCCCAATAGCCGTAGCGCCATTGTCCTGACGTCAGGACAGTGTTCAAATCTGGATCAGTCTGTATCAGATCCGTTGCAGCCCCTTTTTTAGAGATTTGGGTATGGAGGAAAATAGAGAGGGTTGTGTTTTCTGACACTTGGTGAGTTCCCTGGAACACCGGGGACACATATTCATGTATAAAAGACGTACAAAAGTGCATTTTGCATGATAGGTCCCCTTTAAGTACAGGATCTCAGTACATCCACCCCTGACATTTTACAACACAGTTATATACTATACCATATGTATATAGTACGGTACTGTGAGGATGAACAGCAGAGATTATAGGCTGTGCAGTAGTGTGTCCATGTGCGGAGTGTGTGAGTTATGTGGACTCCGACTGGGTGATGAAGAATATTCATCCGTCCTGACAAGCTGTTAATAGTAAATCCCGCACCGCAGATGCCATGTTTCCATATTGACACCCTCTACTGTAATGAATACAACACTCAAACACACTCCTACACAAAACACACACTCTCCCATGCAGAGTCTCATATTGTAAATAAAACAAACCCACCTCTCCCAAGAACACTAGCCTCAAACTGAACAGGTTAAGTGATTTCTTTATAGCACAAAACAGTATATTGTGTGTAGTTTGCATCATTATCATGGCTGTTATGTTATTCCTGTCATTTTATTGAACTCATTTCAAAGGCGATATTAAGTTTTGCACTGTGACGTACATAGCTTTTACACATGATTGGGTTGATTAACCACACACATATGATTTTGACTTAAGTAATTATAAACATTGTTTGACCTCTTGTTTTTACCACTGTGTTTATAGCCACTGACCTCAACAAAGTAGTCAAAGAGCATCATGGGAGGAGCAGTGGTGGACGACGCACCTCCCGGGGTGAAGGCACCAGATGGCGGCTGGGGGTGGGCAGTGTTGGCCGGGGGCTTCGTCATTACTGGCTTCTCCTACGCCTTCCCCAAAGCTGTCAGCGTGTTCTTCAAGGAGCTGATCCTAGAGTTCGATGTGGGATACAGCGACACTGCCTTGATCTCATCAATACTGCTCGCCATGCTGTACGGCTCAGGTAGACATGGGTGGTACAAGACTGGGGGGATAAGCTGTTAACATCAAAATGATATATACCACACTACACATGTGCACACTTAATTGACGTATTGATTATGTTTTCTCAGGCCCTCTGTGCAGCGTGTTGGTGAACAGGTTTGGCTGTCGGCCGGTGATGATGGTCGGCGGACTCTTCGCCTCCCTGGGAATGATATTGGCCTCCTTTGCCACAAGTATCATACACATCTACCTTTGCACTGGAGTTATTACAGGTAAAGTCATAACGAACATGCACAAAAATTAAAAAAACACAAACATGTAAAAAGGTTACATAAATATGCATGCATCTACTCTGTATATCTATTCATTACACTACATGGAATTTGGCTTACGCTTTTATCCAAAGAAACGTACATGCACTTCAATATTGTAGACATGCTTACAAAGCAAATTGTGGTTACTGTATCTTGCCCACAGACACTTCAACATATTGACTGCAGGGGGTGGGATTAACCCAATAACCCCTGGTTACATCCTTCTTGTTCTATTGGTTAATTTCCTTACAATACACAGCAACAGTATTGACGAAACATGACAAACCATGCAAATGTTTGTTTTGTTTTCCTTCTACATTTTTTGTCAGTTGCTTTTTCCATTCATCAAAGCAACATATTGTGAAACAAACGTCCTACTTTTACTTTGGATATTCCTGCAGAATATGTATATTGTTGATGACTTCCTGACCTTTGCACTACTGTCATCATCTGGGCAAAATCAATGTAACAGGAAATATGCAAACTTTAGAAACACTGATAAACCTCTTCCTGCTGATGAACCTGAACTTCTTAGCTTTATTCTAATGCCATCTTAAGGTCAACATAAGCCTTGATCCAAAGGACTTTCACATTCATGCCATCAGGTGGAAAAACATAAAGAAACGATATGATGTGAAAATTACAATATGATACATTTACAACACCATTCTTGGGACCTACTCAAACTCTACTTCTCCAAATATAAAAGAAACAGCCACAATTATCTTGAGATGATCCAAGTTTCTATGGAAGTTCAAAATGGTTAGGCAGTGAACTCTAGTGGCCATAGTAATAATTACAGTAAGTTACAGTTGCAGTAATACTAAAGTCAGTTCATGAAGTCTGTGTAGGGTTGAGGTTGGGAGGTCAAACAAACATGGAACTTTGGTCCAGGATTAATGCCAACGCCATTTAATGGTTAAATGTCATCTATATATAGATAGATGACATCAAACCATTAATGGCGTATTAATAGAAAATCATATATATATGCATATATGATATGACAATAAACCTTTTGAATTTGAATTTAATTTAATTCTCGAAATAAAACTTTTCAACAGCTGTATTCAAACTTTACTTCTCCATATAGAACTGTACGCTTTTTTTTAATTGCTTGATATTGAATGTCATTTTTAGTCTATCATTTTGGTACAGACTAAAATTGGAAACGACATTTCTAAATTAAATTTTAGCCACAAAGAATTTGTCTTTCCATGTCCAAAACGACAACAGAGACTGAGTCCTTTCCAGTGTTTGTGTCTCAAGATGCTTCTATGTGTTGGTGTCCCTCTAGTATACCTCCCTCCCTCACCCCTAACCTTTTGCAAAGTGAATTATTTCTGTCTGTCTCTCTGTCCTCAGGTCTGGGTCTGGCGTTGAACTTCCAGCCGTCTCTCATCATGCTGAATCGCTACTTCAGCGAGAAGCGTCCTCTAGCCAATGGCTTGGCGGCAGCAGGCAGCCCTGTGGCGCTGTGCTGCCTCTCCCCACTGGGACAGGTACTCCAGTACCACTATGGCTGGAGGGGGGGGTTCCTCATACTCGGGGGCCTACTTCTCAACTGCTGTGCCTGTGGGGCCCTCATGAGGCCCCTGTTGCCCCCTGAGAAGGCCAAGAACCTGGAGGAAAGCATTCCCACAGAGGAAAAGAAAATCCAGCCGAAGAAGAAGCTGTTGGATTTCAGCGTGTTCAAGGATAGAGGTTTCATCATCTACACCCTTGCAGCGTCCATCATGGTGCTGGGCCTGTTCGTGCCCCCCGTGTTTGTGGTCAGCTACGCCAAAAGCCTTGGTTATGAAGACACACAGTCTGCATTGCTCCTCACCATCCTGGGATTTGTTGATATGTTCGCTCGACCTATCTGTGGACTCATAGCCGGCACGAAGTGGGTCCGACCCAGAACTGTGTACGTGTTGAGCTTCGCTATGATCTTCAACGGGTGCACCGATCTCATTGGATCACAGGTAATTAAGCAGCATTCGGTTCAATATAAAAAGAGGATAAAGATGATCATACCTGTGTGAAGGGTTTTCAGTTTCACACACTGACTAGAAGCCACATCCGTTGACATCATAAAGGTCAGAGAACTGGACTACTTGGCTCATACTGGGAAAATAACAGGATAAAAAAAGAAACAAAACATATCAATTAAATATTTAAGAGATTATAACATGTAATGCCTATAAAAATCAGTCTAGTAAAAAAACAACTGAATGTTGTTCGGTAGATTATTTCAGTTAATTATCCTGAAGGGAAAACTGTAAATTAGACTGATATACTTTGTTATATTTGTATAGTTGGGCTAGGTAACTGTAGTGCTGTGTCTCAATTCACAAACTCCTGTACTGACGTGATTTTTTGAGAGCATCAGTGCGTCAAAATGCTAAGTATAGCAAAATGCACTATGAGTACCCAAATGACCACCATCTTGGCTACGTAACAGAAGTAACCGTTACTTTGGTCAACACATTACTGTACAAATAAAAGTTTTCTAGTAGGTTTTTTTTCATTGACACGTACTACTACTCCAGTGTCGAAAATAATCCTCTGTTCTTTTTATTATTGTTTTTTAGAGCAGATCATCTGCTACCAAGAACAATAACTGCTAGCTAGCTAACAGTGGTCATTGTCACTTTTGGTAAAGGGCACAGCAGCCGTGCGCAATGTTCATTTTATTGGGTTTATTGAGCAGTCTGTAATTATTTGCTACCACGAATAATAACGACCCTAGCTAGCTTTCAAGCTAACAGCGGTAATAGTGCAGTTTGAAACATCACTGCCTGTTAAAAATGCACAAACTGTGATAATAGTGTATGACATTGCAATGTAGGAGAGCATCTTAAATGGAGACACATCATAAGTCTTTAACTTTCGTCATTCCTTCACCTTAATGTCCTATGCTAACCTGACTTTTCTTCTACTTGCAGGCAAAAGACTACGGTGGTCTGGTGATCTTCTGCATCTTCTTCGGCATGTCGTACGGCATGGTTGGAGCGCTGCAGTTCGAGGTCCTCATGGCTGTCGTAGGGACGGAGAAGTTCTCCAGCGCCATAGGCCTGGTGCTGCTGGTGGAAGCTATCGCTGTTCTAGTGGGACCTCCTGGAGCAGGTCAGAACAAGGGAGGAAAGATTGAGACAGTGAAATAATAAAGGGGTTGACAGTCATGCTAATGTTCTCCTTCTCTCCACCAGGTCGCCTCCTGGACTACACCAATGTCTACATGTACGTCTTCCTGTTGGCGGGCTGTGAGGTCACACTGTCAGCTATAGTCTTAGCCCTGGGCAACTTTTTCTGCATTAAGATAAAACACGGAGAGACAGAAGCTAAATTGGAGATGGCTGTGAATGCTGCAGAGAAGGAGGGGCTGAATCGCGGGGTGGAAGAGGAGGAAGACCATGACGGCGAAGAGGAGCCAAAGGGAAAAGACAATGGAAAAGTCTGCGCTTTAAAAGCAGGCGAGGAGGAGATAACGGTGATGGAGACGGGAGAGAAAGAGGAAGACAACACATCGATATGAAGAATAAGACTGAGGAATGACAAACTGTTCACCAACAGGAAGTCAAATGTTCTCAGGAGGATCTGTTGCAAAACGCTGAGCTAGGAGCCACACAAAGGGAAAGGGTCTAAGTATTGTAAGGTGAGAAAATATTGCCCTTTAAATAACAATCTATTCTGATAATGAGTGTTTATCATCAACACGTGTTTTTGCCCTATTCGGCTCTAATGCAACATTTGGATGTGATTCAAAATGTGTATTACTGTTAATGAGTTCAATGGAGAGTCTGAAACACAATTCCTTTGGGCATTAAAGGTCTCACTCACTCAACACCTTTTTTAAATAAATATCTCAGTACTAGGCTCGGCTCAGACACAGATTACATTTAAGGACAAGGACATTTAGTTTTCGTTTTTTGTACTTTTCTCAGCAGTTTTTTGCTGTTGTTTTACAGACAGATGCTGTTTTCTTCAGAATTCAAGCTGTTCCACCTTCCATTTCCCTAAGGATTCCAAAAAGGTTGACTAAAAATGCCAGTCAACGTCCACTTACTAGCTCTTTTATCAAGCTTTCAACAACTTCTCATAGCTTTGGTCAACAGATGGGGTTTGCTCAGCTGCCATCATATGACCTACTGTAAGCTTTCTGTCTTTAGGGTATACCAGCAGAGATATTAGGGTGTGAGCGGTTTGTGTGATGCGAAACACAAACTGCAATGGTCTCCGTTTTTGATTGCAGACCACTTCTTTAACTTTCTACTGCAGTGGTGCCAGATCTCGGTCCCAAAGATGTGTTGAATCTAAGAGCTGAGCGGCGTCAGTCAGAGGCTGAGCTGTAGCAGTTTACAGTGAGAGCTTTAAGTGGTTGCAAAAGCTGTGGTTCCAAGATCAAAGTGGCTACAACGCAACCACACACACACATATATACTGTATGTCCCACATTATTTACCAGGCATAAAATGTAGAATAAAGGCCTGTCAAGGTTCACGCTCACAATTAAACATTTAAAAGCAAAACATTTCATGCAACATATCAGCAAGTTTGGCCCAAAGTTGCTCCCATAATACCAGCTCAAATGCTTACTATCTCACAGCAGTGGAAAGACAAAGGTTAATCATGATTTATCACTGATTATCATTGTGATTAACACAGCACTAATAATGTTCCCTCTCCAGTCTCCATTATCATTACGTATTAAAAAACTGCCTATATTTACAAACGCCAGTCAAAAGAACTTGAACTGAAACACAGTTTAAAGCTTTCGAAGGCTTGTAGGTGGACATTGCTTCAAAAATATATTGTCAAGCTAATATAAAAAATGAATGTATTTATTGTCGTTTTATGTTACAATAGGATAGCAACTCGCATTTGAAAATTGTTTGAACAACTATTTAAAAAAGGGGCAGCTAAATGTCATACTGTAGCTGTTCACTAATTGCTGCCATGTTAAAGTCTTTTTTGTTTTGTTGTCACGTGACTGCTGAGAGCTACTACTGAGCTTTCTTCATACGCTGCCTGATACATTTGTGTAGGAAACTTGAATTGTCAGTCTGTGTTGGTGTTGTTTACTCAGCTGATGAATGTACGTCCTCGTATGCCTTTACTACTGTTGATGCTGCAAGTGTCCCTGGGCTGTGTTGGTATGATGTCCAATGCTGGGATCCATGTGCTCTACTGTCTGTGTACTGTATGTGTTCCATTCAATGTTAAAACACTTAGAGCAAGCAGGACCCTGTTGCTTGGTGAAGAAATGGAACGCACCTGCTGCTTTTACACTGCTATTTTTCTGAGTGATGTCAAACACAATCTAGGCATGTGGTGCCTGATTTTCCCAAATAAATATATATTTTCTGTGGACAAATGACTAAATGACGTGTGTTCTGTTTTGTAGGACTCACAGATGAACTGATTCATGAGCAGGAACTATGTACAAGTAATTCATTTATTTACAGTTTAAGTACACAAATACAGTGGCAAATATAAATGTGAGAAAGTAAATCTCGCTGATCTGTTTGCTTACATAATTCACTCAATGTAAAGCGGAGAGGTCAAGGGTCAAAATCCAATATTAGAGGAGCAGCAGCAGGAAGAATGAAGTACAACCATTTCATTCTGAAAGACATGGCAGAGAAGTGTCCAGATTGAAAACAAAACCCCACTGCTGCTGTAGAAGTTCAGCTTTCTTCTCAACAAAGAATGGTTTCACAAAGTGTTTAAGAGGATTCACAAAGAATGCATTTCAGTGCCCGATACTGCAGTTTGTCACATTGGTGGCAGATCACTGAACCTCTAATACCAAGAACAGTGACGGCAAACATGTCGCACAAAAAGTCTTTCACATTCATCTTCCCTGCCAACAGCACGCTCTCTGCAGTCCCTCCATGTCTCTGCAGGGGCCAGCTGATGGGACACTACTACATCTAGGCATCTCAAACTCAGGTTCCTAGAGCAAGCCACACCCATCGACAGATGAGCAAACATTTTTACAACATTATTACAAGTAATTCACAGCTTGGAAATTATACAAATAAGAAAAAATGTTTCTCTGTACACAGTGAATGGACATCTGGTAAAATATGCTAGATGATGTCCTTGCCCCGTACGTAAAGTGCACTTCCTTAGTATGGAACACTAGAAGGGGAAGCGGGCTCATTGGACCCGGAGCCTGGAGGTGAAGACAGAACATATTGCCAACTAGCGTGTGAACACACAACCTCCATCACCCAACATACCAAAGCAGATTAGTGGTACGTTCAGGGGTTCAACTAGCAGTCGAGTCCACACCTGACGCTGAAGGCTCACCCCTAAAACATGCAAAGAAGTACTTTCTTTTTATTTAATACAAATGGCTATATAGTTACTGAAGAGAGCCCCATCAGTGGTGGTGGCCATCATTAAAACAGGAAAAGTGGTCAGTGGGAATGAAAAGTGAAAAGCATCACACCCCAAAAATTACCCATATATATATATATTTATAAAATGAAGAGCTGCTGCTTTATTTTTATACATGTTACTGCACAAAAGAGAGATTTTATTGATCAGGTATCGAAGTAGCAGTGGAAATGTGGGGTCCTCGATGACAGATGCTTCTGCAGAGGAAGGAGTCTCAACTCTCATCAGTGGGTCCGGCTGCCACGTTAGCCTCAGACACAGCACTGTCCATTCAGACTCTAGTGGTGGTGGTTTGTTTTTACGTCTCCTTAAAAAGCAGACGGAGTCTTCCCGAGGTCTGGTCACTGTTAAAGGTTCTGGGAGAGGACCAGAGTCTGAATGACACGGCTGTTCTGAGAGCAGTCAGAAAGCAGTGAATCAGAAGGTGCTCCCAATGGTAGCTGTAGTTAGGAATAGTAGTTAGTAAGAATATTAAGATTGCTTCTTAGTGGAAAGGGCCTGGTCCGCCAGGGTGCATTGTGGTTAGGCTCATCGAGGAGCTAGAAGATGGAGACCAGCGGTCTGTACACCGGACATCATCTGGGGGAAACAGCACAGGAAACAGGAGGGTCAGAAACTAACACACCCCTAGGGGCATTAGAGGAGCAGTGTGTAGGATCTGGAGGCTTCCAACTGAAACCCCCCCCACCTCTCTCAGTGCGTCACAGTAGCTACAGTGGCCTGCAGGTATTTGGAATAGGTGTGTCTGTTCCGACTACTGTAGGAACATGTCCGTGCAACAGAGGTTTCTCAGAAGAGGAACGGCTCCCTATTCAGTTCTGGATGACTCGTCCTCCACTAACTATTGTTTTAGGTGACGATACACTGATGGAAACATAACGCTGATATTCCATTTCCTCTAAAAGATCCCCTTAGAAGTTACACACTGCTCCTTATAGCTTTACACATGCATGCTTATCTGTACTGTCACACCTTCTGAATTAACATGTGGGTAGCACCTACATTCATCAACAGTCTACATGTGTTTTAGAGTCACAAATTCACCTAAAGCATTTAATACTCACGTTCAAAACGACCCAATTTCTAAACTGGAGTAACAGCTGGTAGTAACTAGAGATTGCTGATTGGTAGCTTGTAACAATATCAGATCATTTTCTGGCTACGGACAATATCAAGCAAAATAACATCAGTTCTGTCAGGTGAAATGGACAGGGAAGGAATACATTTATACTATTTCATTAAGAAACACAAATGTTATATACTGCTGTGATGCAGGGAAGGAACACTAATAGGGTGGGCTTACAGTGCAGCTTACATCAGGCAAAACATTTGCAAACATTTATGAAATTCCAAAACTAGGAGGGTTAGGGAGTGAAATGATTAGCGGCTGAGCTCTCAAGCAGCTGCAGCCCCAAGATATAAATGAAGTGGACTGAGCAAAGACGATTACTCCAAAAACAACTCCTTCATTCTATAAGACAAGGCTCAAAAATACAGTCACAGGAAAAAGATGCAAACGTATTGCTTCTATAAACACATTTTGCACATTGATAATTGCGGTGTTGCAAACTAACTGTTGCATTACTTGCCCTCTGATATTTAGAGGTGTGTTAAAATTCAGGTTGATGAACTCATCTGGAAAGTACAGCGGAAATAAAAGCAGAATGTGTCATAATTGCTACACCTGAAGTTACAGTTTGTTCACTTCCTGCAGTGGAAAAGGCCTGCATGGTGATTCATCTTCTGGGTGTTATCCTGGAAGTCATGTTCAGCAAACCTCGAGGACATGTAACTGCCAAAACCTCTTTGAGACACTGTGTATACATAATCTGTTCCTTGTCTTTTTCTTTAAATACTAGGAAGCAAAATAAACGTTTTTCCTTTCAGAACATGCTCTCAGCCACAGCCAGGACAAAGCTGAACGCTGACATGCAGATAAGAAGCTTCATATCATGCAGGTGCTTGGTGGAAAGGCCAGGGGGGGGAATCTGCAGGTGAACATTGGACTGCACCAAGCAAGGCTGGAGGGGGGGGGGGGGGTAGTAGGGAGGCACATCCCTGTTGGAGGATAACAACTGCTTCACAGCAACAGTACAAGCAACAAGCCACAGAGCTGAGTAGAGGGGCATTACGTCACCCATGGGGAAGGAAGAAGGGAGTCACATAGTTGGGCTGTGATGCACTGCGATGCATTTTCCAATCCAGTTCTCAGAGGACTTCCCTGCGCTGCTTGTTATTGTCAGTATCTGACTGTTCAATGATAATGCAGCTGTGATGTCATGGTCAGCAAAGTGGCTGTATAACTGAATAGGGCTGCCCTTAACCAAAGATGTTCCTAGTCAACCAGTAATTGTCACTTCCAGGGGTTAATCAGGGGTGGTCACGCGTTCATCATATTTTGATGATTATTAAATATTTTATTTTTATTTTGGCTTCACAAAATGGCTTCATTTCAAGGGCTAAGAAAGAATGTTACAGGTATATTATTCATATATTCGTACAATTGGAAGGTGTGAAATGATCCCACATTTAAATCATGGCACAACTCCCAAATGAAGTTTGAGGAGTTTTCAGGCTGATGCAACAAAACTTGCTTGACTAAGACTTTTTTAGCTGACGAACATTTGGTTGACAATTGGGGGGGGGGGGGGGGGCAGCCCTACAGTTTAATGACTGTTCTAGTCTCTCTCTAAGCACAGTGGTGAATAAAGCGAGACTCAGCGCAGCCAGGTGTGGAACTGGAGGTTGGAGCCATGCATCCCGGTGCTGTGCAGGACTCACCCAGTGTTGCCGCCGTCACACAAGGACGTGGCGAGCGTCTACTTGGCGTGATGCTCGTAGGGAATACTATTCTGAGGTTGGGGGGAAGGGAGAGAGAAGGCCCAATATGTCAAGTCAGAACCCATAGCCTGCACCAGCCCTAACAGCTGGAGGAACAGGACACATGTGGCTGGTGGAACAGCATCAGGACTGTTCTGCTGCTCTGTATCGGAGCACTGTTTGAAGGACTACACATCAGTCTAGTTTAAATCATGTAGACCAAAGCTAATCCTATGAAGTAGCAAGATACAGACTTCCATAAAGACAACGTTTATATTACCATTGAAATGTAAATCCAACTGCTACTAGTAACTAGAGCTTAAAATAGAGATTTTCGCTGCCTATACAAAAAGGAGCTTCTTCAAGCCTTGCCTGGGGTGAGATGGAATTATATATGGTTAGTAAATGTTTAGACTTTCTTCTTTCTGCTCTTTCAAGTGTTTTAATTTACACTTTGGAGCAATCCTAATCTGGCACCAACTTCCTCTTCTATCCCACTTCCCCTCTGTTTTTGCTTTTACATATTAAGTACCCTTCCAAGCCAATAAGCGTGGACGGGCAACCAGCTGCCCTTACTGACCACGTGCAACGATGTTTTGTGTATGTAATGGAATAGTCTACGTTAAATGTAAACATTTAAACTTCTTAAATTAAGAACAGACAGACATTTAATTATCTCATAAGGTCTCAACCTGTTAAGCCCTGAGCCTGTTTTTCAGGCCTCAGGCTCGAAAATGACATTCCCAGAACAAATTAGTATAACTTCCCTTCTAAAAGGGGTAAACTAATCATCATTTTTCTCAAAGTAATGATAATGGATTTTTGTTATTTTAAAGTAAATTCAGATTGAACACAGTAAAAAAATATAAATGATAGTGTCCGTCCAAAAAAAAAAACATTACTTATAGTGAAAACCACCCTTGAATGATGGGATAGTAGACTAAAAGCTTTAGGAATCCAAACTATAACATATAATAAGTACCCTGTATCAAGATTGATGCAAAACAAGTGACATTTTACCTTTTTAGAGAGATTTAGAAAAAAGAAACCACTTCTGGGGTCATTTGGGTGCATTTTCCATATCTCTGGCTCCCGTTGTTCGATTTTGATGATTGACTTTTTAACCGTTAGAGCCAATAGAATCAAGGGGAAGTTCCTAAAATCCATCTAAACATTACCCATTGGTGAATGAGTGATGCGTAGCCAGAATGCCCCGGAACCGGAAGCTGCGATACACTCTGGTGGCTATCATTAGCAGCTAATATGAAATCTCCGTTTTTGACATAGAAATTGAATGATGGATTATCAGTAAGCATTTCAAAGTGACTGACACATTGGATTAACCTATGGATTAACCTTCAGCAGCGTTTTTATCGTTTTAATGCCATTGAACACGACTTTTGATCAGAACAACAGCAAAGGTGAGACGATCTCCCGTGAATGCTCCGTAATGCTATGTGTTGTGATGTCTGTGTTTGCTTCCCATGTCGCGAGTTCTGATCGCTCAGTGATGATACTAATACCTATAGAATCTGTGGAATCTGATATATTGTATGTGCAGTTACGATAAGTAATAAGGGTATTTTTACCTTGAGTTCTGTGCCAAGTGCGTTAGCATTTTTTCGCTCAGGGCTCATTTAGACGCTTCTTGTGAGACTTGTGTTTTATTTCGGTAAAAGCGGTTCGTATCGTCAGTTAGCTGAGTTTCTTCCCGTTAAATGGGTATGACACATTAATCGGTTTTTAAATATTAAGAAGCCCTGAGACACAGTTTCGTGAAAAAACACCCTGCAGGCCCCGGATTAGGGCTTAACAGGTTAAACAACCTATAGATTACATTGTATTTAGGGTCAAATACACATCTAGTCTAGAAAACAGTAGAGTTCAGTGTAAAGTGATGTATATTTACAGCTTAAAGAAGGGTGTTCTTTTAGCTTTGAGTTCAGGAGTTAAGTGGCTGGATTGGAATTGGGCTAATAAGAAGAGAGCGGGTGCGTCTTAAGGGGTGAGTTTTACCTGTGAGGTGGACATGCGGGAGGTGTCCTGCCGCCCTGTCAGATCAGAGGAGGACACGTTGACAGGAGCTCCGCGGTGCAGGCGCATGCTGACCTTTCTCTCACGCTCCATCCCGGACACTTGTCGAGGGGACGTGTTCGCTGGAGACCAGAGATCAAACATGAGGAGGGAATGCATGTGGTGATCATAATCAACACTATTTGATCTATTTATTAAAGTTTCTGATACTTCCATCATTAAACACCATTCCTACCTATAACTAACTATAATGCTGATACATTATGGTATACCATTGAAGTCTATACTTTAACATTACAATCCTAACTGCACTGCACTGATGGTTTTACCAGTATTTGCATGAGGAACTGACCTGTGTGTGAGGTGGGTGTTAGCGGGGTGGCTGGGGCTCCCTCTACGGCTGCTCGGGGCCTCCCTGATGCAGCAGGGACTGCTCTGGCCCCCGGGGTCCTGCCGTGCCTCAGCCTGTCCTCCCGGTCCCGCCGCTCCCTCTCTGCTTCCTCTGCTGCACGGTTGGCTCCCTGTGTGAAACAAAAAAGAAACTAAAACCACTTCCTTCTTTATGGGACAGGTTTGGACCTAGTTGCAGTTCTCGAGAAGCCTTTAAGTGTAAGAGCTCTAGAATGTAAAGTAGGCATGGTAGAAATACACGTGAGTCACTGACAGCGCATGGAGTGGTAAAACAAATGAATAACATGATGTCATTTCCTGTCAGCATTCTTCTCATATAGGTGAAATTACTTCAAACTAAAATCAGTTTTCCCTTTTATTTATCAGATATAAAATACTCAACACTCCCCAACAAATCAAGACAGGCATCTACAAACTTTTGAGTTTTAATTATAGCTTATATTATACAGTTGAGAATATAATTAATACTCACAAACTTGAGCATGTTCCAGTCAAACACATAGTCGTAGGAGAAGCCCTGTCTGTGGAACAGGTTCCTGAAGAGCTGCCGGAGGTACGAGTAGTCCGGCTTGTCATCGAAGCGCAGGGAGCGACAGAAGTTCAGGTAGGTTGCAAACTCAGCTGTGGTAGAGAACAAGAAAACATCTCTTAGCTGATGGGATGACCGAGTGACTATGATTGGTCAAAATAATTTTGAAATATCTTAATACTTGTATCAAAAGCCAAAACCAATTAAATGCAATGTCCCTTTTACTCGTTGCTTCACATTTTGACAAATCAAAGCAGGTCTTAATTCGATTGTTGTATTGAATATGTTTAAAACATTTCTTGGGTGTATAACATTTCTTAAACACCACTGGCAGTGCAGGAGCAAGTTCTAAGCTGTGGAGATCGTGCACTTAAAATTCATGTTTAAACTTGTGTCAATATGGACATGCTACACGAAACAAAGGTGGTAACTCCCTTCTTTTGAACCTGCCATAAAGTCTTTTTTAATTTATGATATTCCCACAGTCCTTAAGGGGCCACTGTCAAAATGTTTTTGTTCATACAAAATGAAAGAAAGTCAAGAATGTCAAATCTATTGCTCGATGTCTTCCACACTTGTACAATATGTTCTCTTCTTCCTGCATTGTACACTGTATTGTAATACGTTGCCAGCCACAAAATGAATGTGAACCAGGTTGTCTCTGCCGAGTTTCCACCTCTTTTTATGTTTGCCAAATAGTTGTGTTGCTGACAGGCAGGTGGCCTTTAAAAGATGTTGTGTCAGTATGACAAGTGCCTTATAATGAGCATTAACTGTTACTGAGAATGAACGCTTAACTTACCGTATACAAGTAAAATCATACTGTTTAAATGAACATTTCCAGTGTTTCCCATCTTTGCTGAGCAAGAGTATTTTGTTAAATGCCTATTACAAATCTAAGCCTGTTGAGTACAGGGATTGAAGCATTACAACGACTTATTCATTTGTGTTTTAGTGTATTTTTTGGATAATTTATAATGAAGGAAACCCAAAACAAGTAGATACTCACAGGGGTATCCCTTGCAAAGAACCTCAATGGGGGTGGACATTTTCTTCTCACTGATCCGCTCATACTTCTGCCTCTTGGTAGCAGCCTTGAGGCCTTGCCAGGGCAATGAGCCGAGGTTAAAATACATGAGAACATAGCCCAGTGACTCCAGGTCATCACGCCTCGACTGTTCTGTAGAGGGGGGCAACAGACAAAGAGAAGGGTCAATACTGCACTGTAACTTTCAATTCACTGCCTAAGAAATACAACAATGTGTTTAAAGCATATTCTGAGTGTTTTGTGTGTTATTTACCAATCCCCAGATGTGTGTTGATTGAGGCGTAGCGGGCGGTGCCGGTCAGGTTCTTGTTCTCTCGGTAGGGGATGTGCTGGTGTGTTCTGGCATCGCGATACTTTTTAGCCAGGCCAAAGTCGATGATATAGACCAGGTTGCCCTTTTTGCCCAGACCCATCAGGAAGTTATCGGGCTTCACATCTCTGTGGATGAAGTTCTTGGAGTGAATGTACTCAATACGACTGATCTGTGAGGGAGGAAAGAGACAAATAAGCTCACTATACCATCATGTGAGGATATTTGGCAAACTCAATCCCACAGTTCAACCGTCTGAAAGATCCTTCTGTACACTAGCTAGGTCATATTTTGTGGGAGGACAAGGGGCAGATGACTGACTGATCTTGATAAACATGATGTGAAGCATACCATTCGCCTTTCAAATGGTATTCAATTATTTTTGTCTGTGGACCATTAACACAGGTTTGGCTATTTTATCCCTTCCTTTCCACATTTGTGTGTGAATGAGAGGCCATTACATTACAAACATTGAGGTACAAAAGCACTATATAAGTGCAGTCATTATTTATTAGATAACAATAACAACAAAAATGTATATCTCGTTGCTGCAAAGATCTATCAGCAATCTTTTTCCTGAAATATATCCAAGGAATCACCTTCTTTAGGATAAACTCAATACTAGAAAAAGGCTTCTATCTCTTCTGATTAATGGAAATGGAAAAAAATGATATACCAGAAAAATATCTGATATTCTAGTAGCAAGTGAACTGCCCATATGTCTCAATGACGGGACCAAATAAACACTGAAGCCCGGTCTGCTCTCATTTTCAGATGCTCTGGATGAGTGCTGGAAAGTGTGATGCAATCTGAAAGGAGGCTTTGCATCATAAGGTGTGTGTGCATGTGTGTGTGAAAAGAGTAGGCAGTCTCACCATCTGATCAGCGAGCAGCAGGACTGTCTTCAGGCTGAACTTGCGAGAGCAGAAGTTGAAGAGATCCTCCAGACTGGGCCCCAGCAGCTCCATCACCATCACGTTGTAGTCTCCTTCTGCTCCACACCACTTTATGGTTGGAATGCCCACTGCAAACACATAGAAGTAAACGCAATGACAATGGGAAGAACACAAAAATGTCTGGAGAACACCTCATGGTGATGTATTTCACCAAGCTGAAGGCAAAATAGAGAACAAACAATGAAGAAGATAGCAGGAAAACAAAGTAGATCAAAGTAATGGACGGTGAGGTGGGGCTGATGACATAGAAAGATGGAAACTCAACTCACCTCCTCCTTGCATCATCTTGTAGATCTTGCTCTCGATGTGGAGCTGGGGGTGTTTGGTCTTCACACATTCCAACTTAATGGCCACCTCTTCACCCACTGAAATGTCTGTGCCTGAAAAAGCACAAATGGATTCTCAGTTTACTCGTCTGTAGCCACAATGTTGCATATATAGTTGTGGACACATGCAGCAACTGTCCCTGTAACTCTTCACCACATCTATTAGTTAAGCTGCAACGTTGTCAGCAACCTCTTAATGTGAAATGTCCAAGTGTGCAAGTTGTTTCACAGAAGGACATTTCTCTAGTGCAGGTGTATGGTGCAATTTGTACGACCATCTTAGACAGTTTGCACATCCATTCCGACTGTTTACAAAAGGTGACTGAACCATAAGCTTAAACAGCTGAATAAAGAAAACATTATTATTTTGTGTGAATAATAACTGCTGGGTTCATGTAATTTACCAAACACCAGGTTCTTGTTTCAGCTACAGTACAGTCAGCGAATAAGTCCTGTGTAAATACAGGTTTAGATCAAGAATAGAAACATGTCAACATCTAGAAACCACATTACTGGCTCTGTGACAAGACACAAGTCCACTCCTTCAACATCTGCTTTCGACATGACAACATCAAAGTCAAGTTTTAATTAGGTAGAGAAGTTTTATAATCCTGCAAATCTAAAGCTATTTTGACTGAGAGATAAATGATGCCTACTTCAACTGGAAAGACCAGTGCTCCCAGTGTTTATTTAAATCACAAACACACACATGACTACTGAGCAGTAAATACACATCAAATGAGTAATGCAAACTGAAAGAAGCAGCCTAGGGAAACTGAAATAGGGCAGTAGTTTGGGCTGTGGAAGGTACACTAGTTTCTGTTAATCATGCTTTAATAGCAAAGAAGCCTTTATTGTCACTATGTATTAGGGCTGCTCGATTATGGCAAAAATCATAATCTCGATTATTTGGGTGAATAATTGATATCACGATTAAAAACGATTATCCATTTACTTTGAAAACATCCATTTATTGACAAAAAAAATGTGAACAGTATGTTTTTAACAGTTGATTACCCTGAACTTTAAGTATAATTCAACTGAAAAACCAATACAAAATAAAATAAAAAAATAATCTTTTTATTTCGATTATGTTGTTTTCATAATCGTTGCAAGCCAAAATCGTAATTGCGATTAAAATACGATTAATTGAGCAGCCCTACTATGTATAAAATACAATGAAATTATAATATGCCCATACAATAGTTGCTTCAAAAACACACACATATACACAACTATTCGCAAACCATTTTTACAAAAAGAAATAAAAGACAAAAACAAGAAGAAATACAGCTAAAGTGCTTTTGTTGAATAAATAAAGCAGATGTGCAATAACAAGGCAGTTGTATGATATGGAAAGGATAAAATAAAATAAAATAAAATACTGGTGGCTGTATTCAAATAGATGTAATAAAATGACCAGTGATTTTCAGTTGGTGATGTGGGTTGCAGAGTAAAGACAGCTACACAGTGTAGCTGCTGTCATACTAAGAACTGAACATTAGCTCACAGATAGCAGGGATAAAGCTAGCTTAGGCTACGACTTCATTTAGAAGACTGCCTATGCCTCTTGCTAAAGAGACAACTTCCCTATGACATTAGTGAATAACAAAATTAAAGTCTGTTTCCTGTCCAATGTGCTCAACAAGTAACTGTGTATGTCAATCTACGGATACCGAAATACTTAGGGGGAAAAAACGATGACATTTTGAGATTTGAAACGCTAGGTGGATTGTGCTTTGGGCTTGGCTTCAACTTTGAAGCATTTCATTTAGCTATACACTGTACGACTATAAACTTGGTGAAGACTGTAAACTGGATGGTATTGTCGTTTGTTAATTGACCTTTGGCTTCAATTAAAGTGTCATGTAGATATACAATAAGGGTTACCGGTCGTCTGGAAAAACACAGCAGTGAAGCCAATAGGAAACAGTGGTAGAAGAAGTATTCAGATGCTTTACTTGAGTAAAAGAACCAATACATTATTGTCAAAATACTTCATTACAAGTAAAAGTCCAAAGTACAAAAGGATTATCAGCAACATTTAATGTGTCATGAGTTATCATTGTGCAGTAAAATTGTCTTTATGTGTATATCATTATATTTATATATGTGACATTTCTAGATACATTTGCTGCGTCAAGTAGAATTGTACTGTTGTAAACAAACAAATATTGTAAAATATTTAAATAGTTTGACTCTATTGTGACTTAAAGAGTTAGTCCACTAGTTTAATTTTTAGAGATGCATTTTGTTAGAAGTAGCTAAAGCGGTTACTAATGATGTAGTGGAGTACAATTACACTATGTCCCTTTTAAATCGAGTGGAGTAGAAGTATAAAGTAGCACTAAATATAAATACTCAAGAAAAAGTACAAGTACCTCAATGTAAATACTCAAGTAAAGTACAAGTACCTCAAAATTGAACTTTAGTACAGTACTTTAGTAAACGTACTTAGTTACTTCCCACCTCTGCTAGCAAACAACTGCATTAAGACTACATCTACTTTGAGCCCCGTTCTTAAGAATAACATTACATACTGTCGATTAACCGATGTATGTTCATTAGGATGAATCCAAACCAGCAGCAATTTGACGTTTTCACTGGTATAATGTCATAAAAACAAGCTAGCTGCCTTACCTGCATCTTCTATTATGCCTGCAATGCCACAAATCTGTCAATCTAGTTCAACTCACATCTCATCGTTTTCAGTATTTCAGTGGACAAAATAACGTTACAGTAGCTAATTTACGAAGTTACGTATACATAACAACAAATGTTAGCTTACAGAGGCTATTACAAACATGATTTGAACCTAATACAACTCTGTAATGATGCAAATGTTGCTTAAAATCAACATGTATAAACACATTTGGTTGGTGAAAGTACTGTCAAGATGAAAATAACATGTTTAACTCACCTAAATAGATGTCCCCGAAAGATCCACTTCCGATCTTCCTGCCCAGTCTGTATCGGTTCCCTACTCTCAGCTCCATCTCGCTGTTAGCTAAGGCTGTTGCTTTGTTTGTACTTCGGCAGTTTATCGTTGCGTATCCTTAACGTTTAGCTTTTAACCTTTTGTTTACGTTACCACGGCAGATAACACCTTCACTAACCGATATACAACCCCCTTAATTCACATTCCCCCGCCCCCCAGAATCCCAGCTCCTTCCGTAACAATACAAATGTCACCATCCCTTTTTTACCTTTCTGAGGAACGGACACCTAAAATATCGACAGCGTTCGATAGTGTGAAAATCGTAGTATATGTTCTCCGTATTTTCGGGGTCATTATTGCCCAGAAACAGAAGGATGGAGACGGATTTTGCTGATGGACTTAACCCCTAATATCGTACGCAGCTTCACTCCGCTGTTGGTTATTTCCTCCGCCGTGAAAGCTGTCATTTGCAGCTGACGTCACTTCCCCTAGCAACTACAGGCACATCTAGGAAAACCACCGAAACTGTTTGTTTAATGGTATAAAAAAAATCTGGAATGTTATTAACAAGCAATTATATCATTCATATTTAATAACTATATATTTGTATAATAAGTTGCATATAATAGGTCATTAATCCATACAAATCATAATCATAATCAAATTACTTAATTTGGGGTAACTTTGGTTTTGTGACATTTGGTCCATTTTAGAATGAAACAAAGAAAAGATAAATAGATAGATAATAGATATAATAGATAATACAAAATAGAATAGGGAGGGATGAAACCCTCTTTAATGGTCACACATGCAGAGCACACAGCACACACAGTGAAATGTGTTCTCTGCTCTTTAACCCATCCTAGTACCAGGAGTCTAGTACTAGGAGCAGTGGGCAGCTATTGTACAGCGCCCGGGGAGCAATGGGAGTGAGGGGGGAAGGGGGGTGTCCGGTGCCTTGCTCAAGGGCACCACGGCAGGGCCCAGGAGGTGAACTGGGACCTCTCCAAGTAGCAGTCCACACTCCATATTTTAGGTCTGGTCGGGGACTTGAACCGGCGACCCTACAGCTCCCAGTCCAAGCCCCTACACTGAAAAAAAAAGTTCTTTGGATTTACTCGATTTGAATGTGTACATTGGTCCCACACCATGAGAATGTGTAAAACTGACACATTTTTGCTTGTCAAACCATCATATACTATTCACATCAGACCACTAGAAATAATCATGTTGATTCAACATGATATTTTTCAGCTCCTGCAATCCCATTTTATTGAGAAATGTTAAAGCAATTTCATCACGTTCTGTTTATTAAATTTTGACATGTAATTCTAACATGATTTGTTCATGCTATTATTCAGATGTATTGTCTATGTTTAAGCTATTTCATCATGTTCTGGTTGCTAAATTTTGACCAGTAAATTTAACTTGAATTTTTCATGCTAATATTATTAAAACATATTATGCGTGTTTAAAGCAATTTCAAATATGACTTGCTAATTCTATCTCATTCAAATACATTGCACACATAGCTTCCAATGGAGGCAAATACAAAATCAAGCAGTTCTGTATCAAAACACTTTATTGAGCTTTAAATAAGCAACAAGAATACCACTATACACGCACTTAGGTACATTCAAACTAGTTCTCCATTATGTGGTTTAATTCGGGGTTTTACCCTTTTCACAGTAACAATAGAAATTATAAAATATATATATTTTTAAACAATTAAAAGAGGTGCTACAGCACAGGCAATATAGAAAGATACTGCAGCATGGAACATTGAATAATTAAAGCATGGAACTATGCTTTAACCTGAACATTTGTGACATAAAATGACCTGTGGTGGCTAGACCAACATCAGTCTAGAAGAAATATATGAAGGAACAATAAGAGTGAACAGGCTGAACAGTTGCACAGTTCCTTAAATTCTCAGCAGGGGAGGGATGCTAGATAAAAGATTTCAGACACATGCAGGATTGACAGGTTTCTTATAATAGAGTCTCAAACACAAATACTAAAGACAGCAATGGTCTTTAAAATTGTCTCAGGTTAAAAACAGAAGTTGTAACGAAGCATACAACAACAAATCCTAAAATGGTATTTCAATACCAAACATAACAGAGAAAAAATAACAGATTCAATTGTTTGGGGTTCCTTGCATGCAGCAGTCTCTGAACCGTTTTACTGAAGGAGCCTGTTTTTCAGAGCAGTTGCTTTGTTTGAGAGCTTACCGCAGTCCAGTTCCATAATAATGCTTTGGACTACTTCAAAGGTGTAGCGGAGGTCAGCAGGGTAGCTCAAATTCAGCGCGTACATTAGTCCGAACAGCATTGCAAAAGCTAATGCTACATTATCCAGATTTGTCAAGACTTTGACGCCTACTAGAACGATCCCGATGTCCTCCGGTTCATCAGTGGAAGCATCTTTAAGAACGTAAATCCCCACAGTCGTGTCCTTGATGGCGCCTTCATCTGTGTCCTGTAAAAAAAAAAACGGCAAAATGTAAGCAAATAAGACCTCAAACCAAGCCCCAATCAAGAAAAAAATAAAAAATACGGGAAGGCATAGTATAGATCTAGCCATGGCAAGTTGAACATTATAAATGAAAGTAAATTAAAGATATCAAATTAAATTTAGATAAAATAATCAAGTAATTACAGCAGAACATGAATCAATCTGGTGTTCTTTAAGCTGGCTATGCCATACTGAGTATAAAAAGTGGGACACGTCCTTGTGTGGCACTAGTTGCCGTGTTCACTTACTAGTTTGTTCAAATGCTCCAAGGTAAATATGTATGCAACTACTCCACAAGTATAAAAGGAAAAATTGCAATTGAATGAAAGAAAAAGAGACATGAAAGATTTAATTGAAAAATTACCTTGACCAAATGAATGTTTACACAAGTGGTAGATGTACAGGTGCATCTTAAAAATTAGAATATTGTGGAAAAGTTGATTGATTTCTGTAACTCTTTAAAAAGTGAAACGCCTATTACATGGATTCATTACACACAAAGTTAATTATTCCAAGTGTTTATTTGTTTTAATCTGGATGATTACAATTTATAGCTAATAAAAACAAAAAATTCAGTAGGTGTTTGTGTTCCGTCTGAGTTGGATCACTAGAACTATAGAAAATAGATGTTTTCCCTGAGATCCTGGGAGTCTCTTAACACATTGGGGACACATACATGTAAAATACATGAAAATTGAAATGTATGAAAAAAAATGTTTTGCATAATAGGGGACCTATTTTAAACAAAATTACTGAAATTAATCAACTTTTCCACGATATTCTAATTTATTGAGTTGTACCTGTAATTGCAACAGTGGCTATGACAGAGACAAATAGAATGATAACAGAACAGTTATTGAGTTTGTGAAGATTTACATAGAGCTTAAACACTGATTGTTTTGTTATTATTCAAACAATCGATGATTTAGTTAAGGTGGGGTAGGTAAATTTGAGAAACCAGCTCGAGTGCGCTAGAATTTGAAAATACACAACCGGAAAAAATCTGCCACTTCCTTACAGAGCCCCTCCTCCAACACCCACGAACATGACCAATGAGGGCACGAGATTAGAGATGGCAAATCCGGATCATTTTACGGACTCAGGGTCTTCTGAGTCAGTCATTGAAGAGATCCGGATCATACGAGTCATTTGAGTCATATGAGTCAGCATCACCAAGACCGTAGAAATCCTATCGGTGAAACCGAAAAGTTGTTGCATTTCACGAGCATATTATTATTCCATATATTTTGAATATATATATATATTTGTATATATATATATATATATATATATATATATATATATATATATATATATATATATAATATCTGCATGTATATTTTCTATTTCGACATGTATATTTTATTTTTATTTCTATTCTTGTATATTTTGTAGTTTTGTTTTATTGTAAAATGCCTTTTATGCTGCTGTAACAACAACAATTTCCCAATTTGGGATCAATAAAGTACTATCTATCTATCTATCTATCTATCTATCTATCTATTAAACTGACGTTATAATTAACCTCCGCTACACAGTGTATTTTGCTTTAATAAAAAATGTTGATCACAAAAAAAAGGGTTATTTTGCGATTTGGCAAATCTGAGTCTGCTCGTGCATGAGGACGAGTCTGCTGGATCTGCTGCTATATACGGCTCCGAGTCCGCACGAGTCTGCTCTGCTGTGTGTTGCACAGTGAGTCAGGATTTGCGAATCCGAGTCTGCTGTGGACTCGTGCATGACGACGAGTCTGCTGGATCTCTGGATCTGCTGCTATATGGTTACGGCTCCGAGTCCGCACGAGTCTGATCCGCTGTGTGTTGCAGCGAGTCAGGATTTGCGAATCTGCGAATCCGAGTCTGCTGTGTGGGCTCGTGCATGACGACGAGTCTGCTGGATCTCTGGATCTGCTGCTATATACGGCTCTGAGTCCGCACAAGTCTGCTGTGTGTTGCAGCGAGTCAGGATTTGCGAATCTGCGAATCTGCAAGTCTGCTGTTGGAGCCGTCGGCTCCTCTGAGTCCCCACGAGTCTGCAGGAAGTTTCACTGATCCGCGTCCCCTCCCCTGAGCCAAACGATCACTTCTGGCAGCTATCCTGTATACTTGCTAAAGGGTAGGTAGATGGACTTGGGGTACGTTGTAATGTGATTTTACATGTTATAAAGAGAGTAGCGAGTGACGCAATTTATAGTTTTAATTTGTACGTCACACCAAGTGTGGGACTCAAGGACTCGGGTTAATGGAGAGGGGAGACTCGTCACGACCAGCTCATTTCTAGGATCCGGGTTAATTATCCGGATGAATCAGGACTCGCCCATCTCTACACGAGATAAGTTTGTGCACAGATGGAAGGCTGACAGGCAGGTAGGCCATCCAGTTATTTTAGCCGGCTAAAATGATTGGTCGTGCGTTTTACAGTATTACGGCTTCCACAGATGACATTTTTTTAATGGATTTTTTGTCAAAGCACTTAAGATATTCATTGCTATCGGGATGTTAAGAGCATTCCATGGAATATAACAACAAGTGTATCTCGAGCCGGTTTCTCAAACGTACCTACCCCCTAAGTCACGTTCCAAATGTATTAAAGCTCCCATGTCATGCTTTTCCGGTTATTACCCGTCCCCTTGTGTGTTATGAAGGTTTTTATGCATGTAAACGGTGTGCAGAGTCAAAACCCTGAAAGTACACCCTGTAGCGAGTAAAACTCTAACACAGAAAATACCTCCCCAAAACGCCTCGTTGGAGATACGTCACTGCCCATTTGATTCTTCCGGGTACCGCCTGATGTCATGCGGTACCCGGAACGAAATGGACCAATCCCGAAGAGCTATGGCCACACCAGCAGCGGCGTGTTCCTCCTCCAGAGGTTCGAAGAACCGGCATTTCACAGACGAAAGCTTCCAAAACATTGCCCAGTTTGAGGCCGGATATGCACAGCTTGTTTGGAC